TCTCACTGATGTGAAATCACATAGTTGCCAACAGTTAGTCTAGAAGCTAACCACAAGTTAGGTCAAAATGACTGGTTAAGCTAACAGTTATATAACTGGTCAAAAGGAATGGTCATTTAGATGTCCAGCTACACACAAACCTTCTTCAGCATTAACAGCTAACAGCTAAAGTGTAACAGCTGCTGCTTGTTAACCACGTGTCTGTTAATCAGAATATAGCAAACGAACCCTAACTAACCCGAATGGAGCCGAGTCGTTCTTGTCTGAGAGCCATTCTTTTTATCAGTGTGCCCAAATTTAACCATCTGCCCAAATGAATAAAATCCATGACAGCGACGCTCTGGACCAATGAGAACATTCCCCTTATTGAGAAGGACAAAAAGGGAGGAGGGATTAGACAACATAAAGTACTCTCAGGTGTGTCTTCTGACAGGTGGGGCCCTCGGCCCCTGAGGATGGCTGGCAGGTGTACAGCTCGGCTCAGGACTCTGATGGCCGATGTATTTGTACGGTTGTTGCTCCGCAGCCGACCGTTTGTTCCAGAGATGCTCGAAGCAAACAGCTCCAACATCTGCTTGAAAAGGTTCTACTACTTATGCTGCTTATACTACTGATACTACCAATACCACTGATACTACTTGTAGTAATGGTGTTTCTAGTACATGTATAAAACTACATGAATGTAGTACATATATACTCTAAGTACATGCAATTATGTATGTACATATATAAGTACATGTATATGTTGTAGATAGTAGTTAGCAGTTAGTAGACAATAGTTAGTTGTTAGTAGATAGTAGTACTTACTTGACAGTAGTTAGTTTTTAGACTGTAGTTGGTTGTTAATGTTTGTAGTTAGGAGTTCGTGGACAGCATTTAGTTACTAGTAGTTAGTTGAATGGCATAGTTAAAAGATTCATTAAGTAGTATTATATAGTTAGTAGCTTGTAGCTAGTAGACCATAGACAATAGATAGTATTTAGTAGACACTAGTTAGTTGCTAGTAGTAAGTATTCATTCAATTCAAATGTATTTGTGTAGCACCAAATCCTAATATCCATGATCTCCAGACTCTTCAAAGAGAAGGTCAAGAGCTTAAAATCTTCTTCATATAGAGAAACCAACAGTTGAACAATGAGCAGCACTTTGAGACTGTGGAGGAGAAACTCCCTCATTAACAGAGAGAAACCTCAAGAACCAGACTCAGTGTGGAGACATCTGCCTCGACCGGTGGTTGAGGAGAGAAACATGGGGAGGAGAGGAGAGAGGGGGGGATAGAGGAGAGAGAAGAGAGAGAGATAGTGGGGAAGGGGAGGAGGAGGAGAGAGAGGAGAGAGAGAGAGACCGGGAACACTTGAGCACYATYAGGTATCAGMTCTGACTAGTTAAAATGAAAACAATAACAGTGTAAATAATTTATTGATTATTATTGATAACAGGCACAATTCATGTAATAATTAATTACTGAAGTATTGTTGTTAATAATAATAATAGTTGTTGACAATAGACAGTAGTTAGTAGAGAGTAATTAGTATAAACTAGTTACTAGTTAATAGTAAATAATAAGTTAATTGTTAAAAGTACTCAGTAGTTGGTAGTTAGTAGTGAGTAGTAGTTAGTAGATAGTCAACAATAGACAGTAGTTAGTAGTAGATAAAAGACAAAGTAGTTGGTAGTGGGTAGATAGTAGACAATAGAAACTAGTTAGTGGTACAGTGGGTGGATTTGATGACATGATCTTATTTGTTTCAGGTTAACAATATGAGTCAGACCATCGAGCTGTTGGAGCAGCGAACTCACAGAGACGTTCAGTTTGTGGAGAAAATGGAAATTGAGCTGAAAGGTCTGGAAAACAAATTCAAGGAGGTTGAGGATGGACACGAAATCAACACCGCCAGACAGTTCAAGGTTCCGGCCGCCTCATGACATCATCAGCACAGCCCATCTCCATAGAAACTCTAAAATGTTACATTACAATAACTTTGTCGATAAAGTTATTTTCATAATCTCAGTCTTCAATCTACACTAACACAACCTGTCTGTCTTTCTCTCTATACCTGTCTCTCTCTCTGTCTGAGTGCATGCTGGGAGTGACTGTGGTGGTGAAGTGTGTTTTGGGGCGTCTTTGTGTTGTTTATGTGTTTGCACCTCATTAATCACAGTAGCTGAGTTCATCTTTTCTCCGGTGAGTCAGGTCTCTAGCGGAGAGTCTTGGTATGGCTGCACTCTGTATCTTCATCAAATCTAACCGTAACCCTCTCAAAAGAAAAAAAATCATTGCCTCATGCATTCTCTTCAGACTGATATCGCTGCTGCAGGAGACTGCTGACATTTGCAGTTATGTAGTCACCTCTTATGAGGAGCTTTTCAAAGAGGAGTTCCAGGAAAGACCAGAGAAGGCGTCGGATCACCTGCATCACCAGGGTCAATGCAGAGCTGAAAGCACAGATCTCTGCTGATGAACCAATGCAGACTCCGCATTGACTGATTTTTAAAAGGTCTTCTGGCATGTGATTGCAAGAGATTTGTTGGTCCTCAAAAACAGTACCAACGCAGGACAGTTACCTTTGAGCTGCAGGAGAGCCATCCTTACTCTCCTCCCCAAGAAAGGGAGGAACTCCAGGAAATAAAGAAATGGTGGCCTGTAGCTCTGCTCTGTACTGACTACAAGCTTCTGTGTTATGTGTTGGTTGCAACGCCGAGACGTATTGTGTACCCAGGAGGCTGATCTTTGACAATATTGTACTAAGTCTGGATATTTTGTACCTGTGCAGGGACATGGAAAGTTTGCTAAAGATATATGGTGGGTGAAGTACTCCTTTTAAAATCCAGAAGGGAGTCTGGCAGGGCTACCCTCTATCTGGTATGCCGTACTCTTTGGCCATTGAACCCCTCCTGCACAAACTGGTACGACATCTTTTCATGCTTCACTCCCTCTGGTTGTAAACAGATTTTTAGATTATCTGCGTACCCTGATAATATTTTTGTTCTTGTTGCAGAACAAGAGGATATAAATATCCTCATTAACACCGTGAATAGTTGTGGTTTACTGTCCTCCAAGGTCAACTGGCAGAAAGGTGAAAACAACTTAACTTTAACAACCAGCGATGAGCTGAGTAGAAAACTTGTTTTACCAGAGGGGTTAGTCTGGAAGAGAATAGGTTTTAAATACCTCAGAGATCACTCAGTTGTTACTGGAAATTATGACAAAGTACTTGAAATGGTTGAAGGACGGCTCAGGAGATGGAAATTTAAACCATGTGCTCCAGTGATCAACAACTTGCTGTCCTCCATAATGTGGCATTGACTGACCTGTGTGGATCCCCCCGGCTGGTCTGCTTGCCCAAATTCAAATGGTATTGGTGGACTTTTTCTGGAATTGTCTGCACTGGGTTCCGCAGAATGTTTTGTTCCTTCCAAAAAACACAGTTGGACAGGGGATGATGAAGACCAGGTTGAAAATATAATTTCAGTTTGTATAGCTCAACTAACAATGTGAAAAAAAGTGTGTGAGTGCTTAAACAATGTTTTATGTTCTGTTGATGAGCAGATTTTTGCACCCATTCTCAGTCAAACTGTGGTTTTTGTTTTTATTTATTCTTTCTTTTGACAAATTTGGTAGCTGAATTAAGAAAAGAATTAAACAAATGAAAAAAAAAAGAAGTTAGGGTTGTGGTTAACCTGTGGCTAGGGGCTACCCTAACCCCAGCCCCTCTCTGTCTCTCTCTGACTCAGTCTATCAGATCAAAGATGGAGGAGCTCCGTCCTCTGATTCGGGTGCTGGAGTCCTATAAAGCTGATGTTCTGCTTGTAGCTCAGTTTAAGGATGAAGCAGCAAATGTGACGAAGCAGCTGGAGTCTCTTCAGGAGACACTGAGCGGACTCGACTATCAGGAGCTGCAGAGCAGAGTTGTGAACCTGGAGGACAGGCTCAGAGCCTGCATGCAGAGACTGGGTAAGGAAACTGATCAATAAGTTATTTATAGAAGTGATAATCAATCAGGTCCTTCAGGTTTTATACTTGTGACAATTGATCAGTCATGTTAATTTTGTTAAAATTTGAAAGAAATCAGACGACAAATTGTTGATTGAACAAAGTAGTGAAGCTAATTTGTCTGTATTTATATCTGAAAAGAGATTCCATCACTGTCCACAAACTTCCATGTATCCTTCATGTTGGCATGGATGTTAAACAATATATCCACTAGAGGGCAGCACAGAGTACAGAGTTTCTTACGACCACCAACATGTTGATGGTGTGGGAGGTTGTGATAATGTTTGTTTTTTCTCAGGTGATGTAACATCATGTTGATTCTTTCTCTTGTCTTGTGATCATGTCTCTCGAACTATTGTCTATACTGCCCCACCATGATTCCCATCGTACTGCTCCGTTTTGTCTGGGTTTCTTTATATCCGTAAACTTTCAGAAAACATGATCAAATACAAATGAAATGAGAACAGAAGGCATAGTCTGTTCTGTACGTGTCTCACTCTGATGATAAATGAGTTTATTGATTTAAATCAGTCTCTGATCAAAGAATGTTTCTGACACTGAAAAAAACATTACAGATTAATATAGTAAACATTTCTTGATCACTTACATGATAAAGTTTTCTGAAATTAGACTTCCAAGAATATTTGTTATCTACTTTTTTGTCTGAATGGATCATAAAAATATTACAGTAATATTAAAGTTAAATTAATTTACTGTCAGAAAAGGTGATAAAGGAACGACACAACCCTACAAGTTTTCAACCAAGTCCAGTTGACCTGTTTTTAGCATGCTTTTACACCTATATAATTAGATATGAGGTTTGTTATTTGTTAACCTGGTATTATATTATGAATTGTCTTTTCAAAGGTCATCAAAGAACTGAGTAAAATTGAGGAATCTCTCCCCACATTTTTGCTCTCTTACCATTGATACATTTCCCCAATGAACATATCGAGACAGATTTAGATAGCATCGGGCCTTCAACCTAAAGGTCCAGAGTTCAGATCCTTGCAAAGTCCATTACGGACAGTCATTATACTAATGTTGAAAGATACAATAGTGCTTTTGATGACTGGACTCCTCTGCACAATTAAGATGTTCCCACCCTAACCCCTTAAACCTTACCCCTAATCCTAACCAGTCAATCCTTAACAGAACCCTCAGTTCTAACCCCTAACCTCAACACCCCTAACCTGTTTTATCATGAATTTTCTCTCTTTGTTGTACAGACCATGAAGGATAAACACATATGATGCTCAGAGTGGAATTGGGTGAATCTTGTACCACCCTTTTTTTTGTTCACCTTTGACCATTCTTCACAGGGTTAGGACCCAGGCGCTAACCCAGGCACTATAGCAACAGCCTCTAAAACTAACAGTCCAAGGCTCAAATCCCAGCTAAAACCATTTCAGACCTTTTACCTAGATTTGATATTTTTTGTCACCTGCACTCCTCTGATCACTAAAGATGTCCTCTGTCCCCCAACCTATCCCTTACCTTAACCATCCCTGTTCCCATGTTGAATTCTGCATGTACTTCTCTCTTTTTCCTTTTTGTTGGGACATAGTGATCTAGCCACTAACGTGCTCTGAGCAGGATTGGCAATTCCCTCTCTCGGGGCCCACTTTCCCAACACTCTTCTTATCTGGATAGCCTCATACAACCTCTGTAGGCCATAACATAATCATATATAAAAAGATATACTCCTCTTGACACTTATTCCCTGTTCCTAACCTGACTGTGCAGTGTCTATTCTTCTGTCTTTAAATAGACACAAATCAACATTGATTCACCGTCAGAATCTGTTTTTGTTTCAGCTTGTGGGAAACTAACAGGAGTCTCTGAGCCAATCACCATCAAGACATCCGGCTCCAGGTTTGGATCATGGATGACTGACCCACTGGCTCCACCTGGAGACAACAGAGTGAGTGACAACAACAGTGACAACAACAGCAATGACATCACTACAACATTGATGACAACACAACAAAAGCAACAACGGAAACAAATATGACAACAACACATCAACAATGGCAACAATGATAACACAATGACATTGTGACAATATGTTTTTCAGATATTTAATGAACATAATGAATTCTGTTGACAGTTGAATAAGTAATGTGTTTGTCATTGTCAAATTATTTACTTGATTTCCTCCTCTGCAGGTGTGGTATATGGATGGTTACCATAACAATCGCTTTGTTAGGGAGTATCAGTCGATGTATGACTTCATGATGACAGATAACTTCACCTCTCATCGTCTGCCTCATCCCTGGTCTGGGACTGGTCAGGTGGTTTTTAACGGATCTATTTACTTCAACAAGTTCCAGAGTCACACCATAATCAAGTTCGACTTCAGGACGTCACTCATCAGCCGCTCTCGACAGCTCGACTTCGCCGGCTACAACAACATGTACCATTATTCCTGGGGGGGGCACTCAGATATTGACCTAATGGTAGATGAGGGCGGGCTCTGGGCTGTCTATGCCACTAATCAGAATGCTGGAAACATCGTCCTCAGCCAGTTAAACGCAAATACTTTGCAGATTATACGCAGCTGGACCACTAACCACCCAAAACGCAGTGCTGGCGAGGCATTCATGATATGTGGAACCCTGTATGTTACTAATGGTTACTCTGGTGGAACCAAAGTGTACTATGCATACTCCACTAACTCATCAACATACGAGTACATCGACATTCCCCTGACTAATAAGTACAGTCACCTGTCCATGCTTGACTACAACCCTCGAGACAGAGCACTGTATGCCTGGAACAATGGTCACCAAGTTCTTTATAATGTGACACTATATCACATTATACAGTAAAAATAATCATATGTAACAATGAAAATCACTTCAGTTCACTATTATATTACATCCATTCACATTATTTATTCAACATTAAGATGATTGAGTGAATTCAGTTTATTCTGAAGAAAATCTTCAGGTTCAGAGGTTGAGTCTCTCACCTCATAAAGACTGAAAAGTCACCACGATCCATCAAAGTCCTCATCAATTAAGTCTAATCCTCGCAACTACTTTTATTCCACTATGTAACGAGTTAGAAAAACTGGTTTTAGTTTGGGTAATTACAGATGCTGTTTCCTGTCACTGCAGTCTGTGGTTATTGGTCAACACCTTACTCAACTAAATGCTGTTTAAATTACATGTCATAAATCATATGTTATGGATTATGTTTGGCTTGGTGTAGTTAGTTAAGTTAGTTTACTTTTCTTTTTGCTGTCTTTGTGAGAATTAAGACTGAACTCATCGTCACATCTGGCCTAGAGCTTGTCGACTGTTAACGTAGATTATTGATGTCGTTTAAAAATGAATTTAAAGGTAAACTTTGATCAGTTGATGTTTTTTAGGGATAGGGTTTTACACACAAATGCACTAAAAAGTAATCCCAACCCTAATCCACTAATACAATCACACAGAAAAATCTTTGTCAATAAGAGACATAAAAAGTTTTAAGAATTAGATGTTTTACTCTGAAGAGTGCTTTTTTATGATATTTAAATGTGTGTATTTTTTTCCTTAATGCGACATTTTCTCACTTTGGGAAAAACAAGCCACAGTTACACTTAAATAATAAATTTGATTTTGTTGTGTGTTTTACAGCAATAAAAGTCTTTATTACTGTCTCTCTTCACTAATTCCCTCAGTTTAAAAAAGTTAGGGTTAAGTTTATATAGATATCTCAAATTAGGGTTAGGGTTAGGGTTAGGG